ATAAACAGAATAAAAAAACTAATCAGATAGTTAAAATCTTTCTGCGTTATGCAATTACCTTTTTAATAAATACAGCTAATTAGCCTAAGTTACTTTTATAACTATAAATAATATTTAATTTCTATAAAAATATATTTATCTAGTTCTTACTATATATATTAATATACGGTATAAAGTTACCGATAATACTAAACCTTAGTATAGTAATATAGTTAATTAATTAACCGCAGAATTTTTCGGTATATATAACAGTAATTAAAGTACTTCAAATAATATAAATAAATATAAAACATCGATATAACGCCCAGTATAAGAATATAGTATTTAAGAAAAAAAACTTAGTAAAGCTTCGTCTTTACTAAAACTATAAGATTTTAGCAGTATTAAAAAAAAAACTTAATAACACGTTTGCGGGACCTTTCGAGGTTCTAAAAAAAAAGTCGGTATTAGTATATTTTATTAAGCTACCCCCGGATTTGCGGATTTATTTAATTATTAGTATTATTCATCTAGAATTATATAAAAAGTCGAAAAATATTCTAAAAAAAAATCTTTTTAATTACCGACAGCCAGAACCTGATCTAGTTACCGGAGACTTGTACGAAATTAAGATTTTACTTAATTAATATTTTTAAAATAATAATTTCGAGTATTTAGTAAAGTGGCTCGGATATATAAATAAATATAATATCTAATATAAAAAACAAGACCTATAGGATATAAAAATATTAGTTAAGTAATATAACTAACGGTATTCTCGACCGACTAGTAGCCTAAATTTAAAAAAACCGATATGTATAACTTGCATTCTAAAATATAGTCAAGATTGTCTAAAATAATAATAACTATTTACTTTATTTTTACTAATCTATTTACTTCGCCTTACTAATATAATATATAATATTTAACTATTCTTTTTCTTCTAATATACTTTTTCTTTCTCTTTTTATATTAACTTTTTATGTTATCTTTTTATCTCTAATCTATTAACTAAAAATTTTTCTTTTTTTTTTTACCGAATTTTTTATGTCAGACGAATACCTCAGAAAATTTAAGAAAGAAGCTTGTTATAAATACAAACAAGCCCTTCAAGCAGAGTAAGAAATTCGAAAAAAAAAGAAATAAAGAAAGACTAGATAAACACTTTCTTAAAATATTTAAATAACCTTTATAAAACAGGACTTTAGCGCCTGGCTTAAAAAAAAGAAAAAATATTAATTCTTACTTTTTCTAATTTTTTTTTATAATAAAATACGTTTGTTTTAATAAAAAGAAACTTGCTTTAAATCCTAATCGGTATTAAGAACATCGAAATATTAAAAAAACTAGTATTATCTTAGACATAAAAATAATCTAACTTAATAATTTTTTTTTTATAGTCTCTCTAAACTCTGCTTTAAAATAATATCTGATTCCGGATTAGACTTCGGCTCTGTCTTCAGTCGCTTATTATAAAATAGTCTAGATCCCGAAACCAGTTATATTTCTAAATATAAGAAACCGAACTTAAGAAAATATACTTTTAATTTCTATTCTAACTTTAATTTTAATTTTTTAATTTTAAAGAAGTATATTAGTTCTTCGACTTCAAAATATATTAAGACTGCGAGTTTTAAGAAATATATTTATTCCTCCAGCTCCGACTCTAACGACTATCTGATAATCTCGGAAACCAAGATAATTAAAAAAAAAATAAGAAAGATATATTAGACTATTAGAATACCGATTTTATTCCGGATATTCCCCCCGATTATTTAAACTATAAGATTAATAAAAAAATATTAATTATCTGATTTATTAACTACGTAATATCGGCTGATCTATTTTTCCAGTATTTTATATCTTCTTTTTTATTTTTAATTTACAATAAACTAAAGCTTCTAAAGTTCGTAATTAATTAGATATAAGATAAATAATATATCTACAGATATAATATAATCTATAATAATTTAATTATTTATATTTTCTACTAGTTATAAATTAAGTTAAATCTTTATCGAATTATTAACTAGTATAATAAGAATATTCCGAAAAACAATCTTAAATCTTATAATACTTTGCCAGAATTTAAAATAAAGCATAATATTAAGAAGAAAGTTCTGAAACTAATACTACTTTAGATTACTAAAACTAAACAAGCTGTTAAGAACTTTAATAATATAGTAAGCCTTTAGTAATAGTAAGTTGTTAATTAGAAAGTTAATATTCTTCGTACAGTACTAAATCTGCCTGATAATATACTAGAAAAGTTAAAAAACAAAGTATTAATCTAAGATTACAGCAAGTGGCAGATCGGCTATAGAAAGCTATTTAATAGAATCTTTTTATATAATTAAGTAAATAAAGTCTAGAATTAGATTAAAATAAAGAATTATATTATTTCTGCTGACAAAATCTTTTTCTAATATATTAAGAACGCGAAAAAATTTTGTAATATTTTTTACAAGAAAGTTCGCACGGACGAGAAGATAAGAAATAAAATTAAAAAATATAATAATTCTAATTTTAATAAGAAATTTATATGCCTGTTATTTAACGAAAAGAATAATACTTTTATAATATTAATATTTTTTACAAATAATAAAATTAATATCTTGAAGTTATACGACTGGATTATTAACTAATATTTAATATAAAAAAAGCCTATAGTTAAAATAATAAAAAAAAATTTTACTAACATCTTCAATCTTATAGTACTATCAGATATAAAGAATATTCCGGCTTTTAAAAGATTATTTAAAAACAAATATTGTTTTTTATATTCGATCGCCGATAAAATCTGGAAACTTTATATAATTATACTAGAAATCTATTTTTTTAGTACAGAAAAGAATATCGATCTTATATTCTTAACATATAGACAGAATATTCTTTTTAATATCGAAAAATAGTTTTTTATATAGAAGACCGTTAATTTCTATAAAAAGCTACTGGAGAAATAGCCTCTAAATAAATCTATTCTACAAAGACTACTAAACATTCGATAACTTTTATATATTAATTATATCGGCTCGTGAACATGCGTCGATTCGGTTTTTAGTATTTAGTAAATAGACTTTTTTTTTTTTTATTTTTTATATCTATTTCTTTCGTAACATCAAATTTTGTTTTTATTTTTTAGTTTTCTGCTTAGTACGTGTGTCTTGCTTGCAAAGCAGAAGAAGTATTATCTTTAATATTTCGAGCCTCGGCTTGGATACTGCTCTCTCTTACTACTTCGAAAAGGCAATCTTATATACATATCGAGATAGCTAAAATAAAGGGAACAACCATCTATCTATAAATCATTATTTCTCGAGGCCTCGAAGCCCAACATATACTTTTAGCTTAATATTATTTTTTAGTATTAAATATATAAATTCTTTAGTTATTATATAAATATCATACTTAAAACACTTTATAATTAAGAAAATAAAGTTATTTTTATTTTTAATAAAATATTTAGTAGAATCAGAGTTGATAATCTATTTATTTTTAATATAGTATTATAAAATATAAAAATTATATAAAAGTATATTTATATTATTTTTATTTTTTTATCTATTATTATTATACCGAAGACTGTAGCTGTAGTAATATTAAAGTCTTTAATTATAATATTTATATTTAAATTTTTTTTAGTATTTCCAGTCAGTTTAAATAACTTTTTTTTAAAATAAAATTTCTAATAATTAGACTTTTTATAGCCAACTTTACTATAATAATTATATTTCTAATTCTTGTGAACTTTCTCTAATATTTTTTTTAAAATTATTTTTATTTAACTGGTTTGGTTTATTTTATTAGTTTTTTAAATTAGAGCTATTCGACTTTTAGTTCTTAGATATTTTAGTAAGATTAGTATTACTTAAATTAAACTAGATATATATCTTTTTTTATATAAGAACTTAGATAATCTGATTTTATATTATTATTTTTTTAATATAATAAAAATTAAAATAAAAAATTAAAAAAATAAACTATTAGTTTTTTAGATTATAAAATATAAATTATATTTATATATTATTACTAAGCTTGTTGTTTGCAGTAATATTATATTAAAATTTATTTAATATTTTAAATATTTTTATAATATATTTATTAATATTTTAACAATTATTATACCGGAAAGATATAATAGTCTAAAGATCTTTAAAAAATTAAATATTTAAAATAATATTATAATATTTCTTAAATTCATTCTAAATAATACTAGCTAACTTTAGATTAATTATTTTATAACAGATTTTTAATAATAATATAGTATATATAATACTATAAGTCTTTTTATTATTTTAATACTATTCTAACTATTTTATTTAATATTTTTTAAATTTTTTAGTATATATCTGTTTAGTAGTTTAAATAGCTATATTATTAATAATATTATTAAAAGATTTTATAAAAAGTCTTAAAACTATTATAATATCTAAAACTAGATACTATAATTTTTAACTTTATAAATATATTTTAACTATCTTAAATTAATACTGAAAGTTTTTAGTATTTTAAAAAACTAGCAGCTTATTTATATTAACTATTTAATATTTTATTATATTTTTATATACTTTATTATTTAATTTTATATTCTAATTTACTAATCTTAACTATAGCTTTATACTTAGCAGAAATAGATATAAAAAATAATATAGTAATAAATTTTAGTTAATTAATATATATTTTAGTAAAAATTCTAATAATGATTAGTAATATTATAAATTAATAAAATAATATATTTTAATAATATTCTTTTTATTAAAAAAAGTATAGATTAGTATAAAAATAATTAAATTAATATTTTAGTTTAAGCCGGGCTTATAATCTGTAGAAGCATATATTTAAAAAATTAAAAATTAAAATAATACAAATTTTATTAATTAATTATATTAATTATTATAAAAGAGAAACTGGCTATCGCTACGGGTGTTTTCACTTCCGGCCGTCACGTGACCCGGCGATTCCAGGCCACCAACGCCGACAAACAGATCAACCTGACCCTGGTCTTCCAGTCCACCTGACCCCTATGTAAAGGGCCTTCGATGTTCCTCGCTGGCTAAGATAATCCCAGGAGCTTGTCAATTAATATACCTTGTTCTCGAGGTTCATCAAACAAGGAAACACACATTCTCCCGAGGTTCACAGCGGAGATTTATATAAGTGGATGGAACCATTCACGTTTGATGAGTTGCTTAAAGGAATCCTCCGGCAAGAGCCTTGTGCACCACTCAGCCTTCAAATAATATATGAACCCATCATTAGGCCACAAGCCACTGCTTCCGCCACCACCACGGTGCAACGGCCCACTTCAGAAATAACGCTCGACGAGTACCATGAAAATAAACATGTCCGCTGATAAGAAAGATACCACCAGCGGCAGCTGGGCCGAGACGGTCTCCGCGAGCTTCCCGGAGAGCGAGGGCTACACGATCCACATGAGCATCCACCAGTGCCGTGGGCCGAAGATGATCATCGCCAGTCACCGCGGAGACGACGAGCTGATGGGTTGTGAACGCCGGGCCGTGCATTGTGCCGGCTACCAGGGCGAAATCCTGGGTATGGCCTTGCAATTCCCCGAGTCGTGCGGCAGCGTCCCGGATACCGTGCTTGCCGAGCGCGACAACTTTTTTCTCCGAAAGTGGCCCGAGACACTGCTACCGATGCCGACCTACGGGGCGGTCATCGCCCGCGACGAGCCGCAGCACGTCAAGTCGGAGTTGTTTGGCCAGCTGTTTCGGCTGTACGTCGATCCTGAGCGGGAGGCACAGAGAGGCCGGGTGGACTGTGCACGGTTGTTCGTGGACTGGCTGCACGAGTGGAAAAAGAGTCTGGTGGCCAAGGGCCCGCTAGAGGAGGTTCCGTTCGAGTTGCTGCTCCAGCCTGCAGGTCGGGCTCGAGAGATCAGCGACTACATCTGTCCTGCTTGTTCTTTCGAGGATATGTGAACTTGAGAAGGATTGAGCTGGAACCGCTTGTTAGGGTCAGCAGAACGGAACTTGCACCCCCCCCCCCCCCCCCCTTGAGCTTTGACCCCAACAGAACTACAGTACAACCGGCCGGGCAAGCAGTAGCACATAACGCTCTGTTGTGGTCAGATAACTGAATTGTCAGGTCGATAGCAAGAAACAACCACTCACGTTAAACCGGTTGTACCTACTGATCGCTTATCAAACGAATGCGGTGCACCCAAGATTGCAGGGGGCTTCGATGTATCGCGATGTAGGAAAGCCACCCAGAATACGCACGACGGGGATTGTTGCGCCGACTCCACGAGAACATGACAATTGTGACTGATGATCAAAATAGGTGTAGATGGCTGCCTCGACTACAGTCGGGGCACCGTCTACGCCCGCGCCGATGCACCTCTCGTAAACGCTGGAAATTAGGCAGTCGATACCTTCCCGACTCACAGATGGCGGAGACGAGTGTCAATCCGATCAAATTGGCGTGTTGATCCACAACACCACTGATATGCAAAGATCGTAGACCTGAGAATTGCGCCAAGAGGAGAGCGAGGAAAGCATCTGTAGTGCCATGGCGCAATCTTCGGATCCAAGACCTGCTGTGTGAAACGTCAGTCCTGCGTATGAATGCGATGTGTTCATCCAGTCCATCAACAGGACGGAGACCCTAGAGATACCCAACACCTGGGTGGTACTCATGGAAGGCTGTCATATCGAGGTGGAAGGATCTGATGTAAGCGGCCAGCTGAGGCCGACGCAAGATTGTGCGAAGGAGGGAAATTGGAGGAGGATGGGGCTCCCTCCAGATCCAGCAAGTCTCACCGTAGAGCAGCGGCTCAGCATGAGCACGCAGAATCTTATGTACTAGACATAGCAAACGCTGTTCAGTGCGCGACAACGACCCGAAGATTAAGCAGTATGTCTTTGCCGGGCATCAAAGGATGCCGAACGTCTGTCGAGTTTCTGACCGCATTGTTGTTGATATCGGAATGGACGAGAGGAGAGATGGGAAGGGAACAAGAACCAGTAGATGGCGTTGGGGATTTCAATCCACGCCATACTCTGAATTCGGTCACGTGTGAATAAAGAGCCCAGCTTCCCTTGTTCGGTGACTCGGCGTGAAATGATGCTCTTGGCATCCCACAGCAACATGGCCTGCCATGTTGGCTGTTGCCATCACTCTGAGCTCCTACATCTTTGAAAGAACCCCAGACATGATCAAGAAGACAAGGGCAAAGCGCGAGGAGTGTCACGTGGCTTCTTGCCTCAAGGCCTCCAACAGGTCTAGATGAAGGATAAGGACGTCCTGACCGGGCAGAGAATCATGGCTATGATGGAGATGTCGGGATATTGCCACTTTGCCATGGTTCAGCATAGCGACATACTAGTGAAACATGTATTTATCATGGATTGCCTGTGGGAGACCCAGATGGAGCATACATTGATGCCTAAGGCACCGATGGTCATCGGTTTGTACCTCATCGATCGATGCCTTGTCTACTCTTTTATCCCATCCTCAAGTTCACCTGCGAACTCCTTGACTATCCACTGACACCAATATTGAAATGCAGTCCGCCACTCTTCTAGCCGTGCGGCTTTCACTCCCTCCATTACTCGCCCCTCAACTCCCTCCAACCACGCCGTCTCGTCCTCATCCTCAAAAGCAGCCCACCGTACACTATCCTCCGCCATCTTCGCCAGGCCCCCAAGTCCCGTGTTTTCAAATGCAAGCAGCACCTGGTAGAAGTCATAGCTAAGCCCATTCCCCCCATGGCCTAGGATTGCGGGATCATCGTTGTTCAACGAGACCGCCACCCCGCGCGCCTGCAGCGCCGGCATCGGATGCGTGAGGATATTCGCCGTGAGACGCAAGACCTCGTGCGAGATGGGACACATCTCGATCAGGATCTTCCGGTTCTTCACCAGTTCGATCAGCACGGGGTGCTTGTACAGCGAGAACGCGTGGCCGATGCGACGAGACTTGAGCAGGATTGCGTCCACTAGGTTCGCGTCGGTGGCATCACCATCCCCCAAGCACTCGCCAGCGTGGAAGAAGAACGGTATTTGGAGATTGCGTTGGGCGCATTCTTGCTGGAACCACTCACAGAGCGGGAGGAGCTCGACCAACGGGCGACCGAGATCCTCTTGGCCGACAAAGTCGAAGCCGGCGATCACCGCGGGATAAGCGGCCTTGCTGGAGAGACACTCTTGCATGGATGCGCGCAGAAGGTCGTCCGGTAGGCTGCGGATGGCGGTCCAGATGAGGCGGGCGCCCCAGAAACCGGAGCCATCCGCGGAGGAGCAGTACCGCTGCAGCTCTTGCGCGAAGCATTCGAGGAAGTAGTGGGTGTCGGGTTCAGGGGTGTCCGAGCCCGTCCGGTGGAACGGGCGCGGTACGAGACGCAGTTCGACGTACTTGATCCCGTCGAAATGTAGCTGTTGCAGGAGCCGGGGGACACAGCGACGGAAGATAGGTTCCGAGTAGAAGAGTCCAGCGATGCCGCGGAAGCAAGAGGCGAATTTCTTCCAGATATCGACGATGCCGCGGTGATGGTGGTAGAGAGCCTCATCCTCGGTGATGGTCATCTGGGAGATGGCCCAGAATTTGAATCCCGACGCCCCGCTGGGATGGGTGCGAGCGACTTCAGCGATAGGAATGAGCTCGTTTGGAGAGTAATCGGCTTCCCAGATGGATGCAGTGGCTTCAGCGACCATCCGGCTTGGACGGTAGTGGAATTCAAAGGCTGGCGGGTTCGTTGAAGCGCCAAGCATCAGTGACGCAGGACTGGACATCCAGAACCCGGGGATCTGCAGCGCCTGGTCGAGCATCCAGTCGATGTCAATCATCGCCTCCATGTGGGCGTGCAGGAGACAGCCCTTGGGCATAGCGGACACGATTCTCCACAACGAGGTTTTGTGCATCCGATCGCGCGAGATAGCGAATGAGATGCCAGGAAACACGACGGGGTGCTTGGCCTCACTGTGATTTCCCTCAGGGGTTGTCCAGAAGATCTCTGACTCTCGCTGACGGATGCGGGCGACGATCTCCGCGGCCTTCTGCGCCGTGGTAGACATGTTTGTCTTGAAGGCATGGTCATGGCGGATGGTTTTCTCTTGATCCAGCAGAGCAGACCGTTCTTGGAGGTGACGTTGGAGTTTTGTCTGCGTCATTTTGGGCTGAGAGGTGGTAGACGAGAGATGAAGAAACAATGGAGGGGAAGTTCAGAGGCTGTGTAGATAAGCGGGGTGTTTACCAGAATGAAATGTCGCTAATTGCCTCTTCTAGTGAATTAGCAGAATCTCACGGGAAGAGGTGGGGATTAACCGCTATCGTAACAAATGCGGCAAATGACGTTGCTATACTTGGCATGGTCGAGCAGATCATGCATAGCAGGCCAAGGGGGTCTGTATAGAGCCTTTTCTACTGTTAATAATAGTAGTATTTAGTTATAAAGAGTAATTATTAGTTATTATATAGTTATAATATAGTTATGATATAGTTATAGTATAGTTAGAATATAGTTATAGTAGTAAAAAATAGTTTTAAAATAATAAATATTATTATATAATAAAAAAAGTATATTACAGAATTATATATAACTAATATTAAAAATAGATTATTTAATAATTAATTTTAATACTAATAATTATTTTGAATATTATATAAGTTTCTTGTAGTTTATTTTTATATTAAATTAATGTTAGGAACTACTTGACGTAATAGACATGCTGGTTAGGCAAGATAAGCAAGATAGTTAAAAGCAGTCTTTTATTAATTTTAAAACTAATTCTTAAGAAATCTTCTTCTCTAAAAAATCTTAGAACAATATATTATATAAAAAAAAGTAAATAATATAATAATATAAATATCCGGATTAAAAGTCTAATAAATCTGTATTAACCCTAAAGCAGGCTGTTATAATAGTAGATATAAACTGCTGTAATAGTAGATATTATATAATAATTAATGATTTTTTTATTCTATATAGACTAAAAAGTAATAATAATATTATTAAAATTTTTAAATATATAAAATAATATTTTATAATATAAAAATAATAGAAATCTTTATAATATTTTATATAAAGTTAATATTTTATATATATTATATTAAAACTGTTAAAATTAAAAAAATATAAATAGACTTTTATAAAAATCTAATATAAATATTTTTTTAATATTAGAATTAGGGCTTATTAGAGCCTATTTATTGAAATATTTAAAATAAAAAAATACTAATAAAAAGTCTTTTTAAATTACTTATAAAAATTTTATAAGAAGAAATATAGAATATTAATAATTAAAATAATATATAATTCCATAAGAAAAATAAAAAGAAGTAAAATAAAATAAAATAATATTAAATAAATAATTAACAATAAAATAGATAAAAACTAATAAATATTAGTAAATATAATATAAAAAGTATAAAAAATTATAAACTAACTATTTAGATGTTAGGAACTACTTGACACAGTAGACACGCTGGTTAGGTAAGACAAGTAAGATAGTTAAAAACAGTCTCCTATTAATTTTAAAACTAATTCTTAAGAAATCTCCTTCTCTAAAGGATCTCAGAACAATATATTATATAAAAAAAAGAGGTAAGCAACATAATAATATAGATATCCGGATTAAAATCCTAATAAATCCGTATCGACCCCGAAGCGGCTGCCATAGTGGTAGATATGGGCTGCTGTAGCGCTAGGTATTGTATAACAGATAGTCTTTTTTAAAACCTGTGTATAAGCTTAAGAACTACTATTTTATTTTAATTAGAAAAAAATATTAATAATATAAAATAGTTTTTAGAAAGATATATTATTTTTTAATAAAATTTCTTATATCTACTATACTATATGTTTTTATATTTTATAACACCCAGGAATTAAAAACTTAGAAACTAATTCTATAAGCTACTATCTTTATAAAAATTATAGAAAAAAATTTTATTAGTTAATTCTTTTATTATTATATTAATAAAAATATTTAATTAAAATAAATTTAATTTTTTAAAAGTTCTGCAGAAGCTTTTATTCTTTTTATACTAAAAAAAAAATAAAAACCTTCGATTATATATAGATTATAGAAAACTTAATAAGATTTTACTTAAGAATTACTATTTTTTATTTTTAATTTTAGAAATTTTAGACAGGATTATAGAAGCTAAATATTTTTTAAAACTAGATATTTAGAATATATATTACTAAATTTATATTAAATAGAAAAATAAATAAAAAATAGTCTTTTAAATTTGTTATAAATATTTTAAATATTTTATTATATTTTTTAGATTAACTAATATTCTAGTTATATTTTAAAACTATATTTATTTAGTTTTTTATAATATATTAGATGTTTTTTATATTATTTATTTAAATAATATTCTTATTTTTTTAAAAACCTGTTTTTTTATACTTTTTATTTATATTAAGTATTAAAATACTTATAAAAAGTAGATCTTTATATTAAACTATTAAAGTATACTTTCTACTAAAATTATATTAAATTTTTAGAATATATTATATTCTTATATAGTATATTAATAGATTTTTAATAGATATTTTATATTTTTATATAGCTAATACTAACTATATATTATAAGATTTAAGTATTTTTAAATTTTTATAATTTTTATTAGTATTTTATTAAGAATTATTTTTTAATTATATTACTACTAATCTTTTTTTTAAAAGATATTCAGAATAGAAAGAAGCCTGAAAGAATAATATTAATTAATAAAAAAATAATAGTATTCTAACAGCTTTTTTATAGTTTTAAAACTATATTTTTATTAAAATATTTTAATTCTTAATAGAAGATCCGGATAAAAATAAATACTTTTTAATAAAATATAATAAGAATACTATTCCAGTTAGATAACTATAAAATATACTATTTTATTATATTCTAATTAAAAAAATTTATGTTAGGAACTACTTGACGCAGTAGACACGCTGGTTAGGCAAGACAAGTAAGATAGTTAAAAGCAGTCTCCTATTAATTTTAAGACTAATTCTTAAGGAATCTTCTTCTCTAAAAGATCTCAGAACAATATATTATATAAAAAGAAGAGGTAAACAACATAATAATATAGGCATCCGGATTAAAATCCCGACGAATTTATATCGACTCCGAAGCGGCTGTTATAGTAGTAGATATAAGCTGCTGTAGCAGTAGGTATTATATAATAATTATACTTCTCCGCCAAGCCGGGTCATCTGGTATAGTAGTATAGCCGCGAATAGCTTTACTATTTACTTTAATTAGGTATTCCTGCTAGTAGTATTCTTTAAATAGTAGAGTTCGGTGCTGTAACAGTAGAAGAATTATCTGGTAGGCTGTACATCCCGTAAATAAAAGATTCTAGGACAGTAAATAAAGCATATGTTTTGTTAACAATCTGATTAGGATCCGACGTAAAGTATATATATAAATAAAGAAGATTAATACATCTTTGTTTATTTCTATATCTCGACTTTCTACCGAATCTTTTTCTTTATATTCTTTTTTCTTGTTGTTTTTGCTCTTGTTTTTATTATTCGTTTTGTATCTTATCTGTTGATTTATTTTCTTAAAATTCTTGTTTCTGCTGCTTTTCGACGCGATGCTGATAACTACTCGCCGTCGTTTAGCCGACACGCCTATTATACCTAAGATCTTTTTCTGTCTGTATTGCTTGAGAACTAATATCAAGAATTTCGATATTACCAACGCAGAAAATTTTGTACCTGGCTGTGTTTTCGATGCTGTGGTATCCGTGGCGTGTAAACAGTATTCCAGTAGGAACCAGGTTTGTTATCAGGTATGTTTCGACAGCTTCTCGGTGGATTTCTCAGGCTAATAAGGACTAGACTTCGGTTGGTATGCTGGGGAACGCCCTCAAGTTCTTACAGATTCTGAACTAAAGCTAGGAGTTTTTTGTCGATTATACTGCCTCCGACCAGGATTTAGATTGGGACCTGACGCTCTGTGTCCAGGTCGGTTATTTGACCCTAGTTCTAGCCACCGGCTTCGAGGCGGCCGAGCTGGCCCACCGCCGTGAGTATGGGCTGACCGGCATTAGTAAGTCTAAGGTTACTGTATGTTTTTCTATCGACTTTTCGTTAATTCGTGGGCTAATTTGCTAGCTTAATCTGATTTTCTATCGCTTTTTTATTGCGGGCCGTCGTTTCATCGCGGACGATCCGACTATACTTTGTCTAATGCCCGGGGATGACGGGTTTCTTTTATAAACTAGGGCCAAGCAGGTATTCTTCGAGGGGATTTACCGCAAGGTGTATATTATATATGGCGACGAGGCCTTCCCCCAGGGTTTCCGCATCTAAAAAATAAAGCAGTTCTGGCTTTTCGCTGCTTATCTCCTGTGAGAATAGTACCAATTAGCCGGGTTGGTCCGGTAGTTTTTCGATAGGGGTCCGGCTTGTTTGCAGGGGTTTTTGTTTCGATTATATATTTCAGTATTAACCTTTAAATGTATCTAATATAATAATTCGATGTGGATTCGGTTGTCTTTTTTATATTTAGGAATAAAATATTTTCTGCTGTCTTAATTTCTTTTTTTACCTTCTATAGCTTTGAATAGCTTGCTGGGTGTTGCCTATAGATTCTTCTAGGACCTATTTATTATATTTATTTGGCCAGTCCGTCTATTTGACTAGGAAATACTGCTTATTGTTAAAAGTCTGCTTGTTTTTAATATCTTCGACCTCGAACTTCTTTTTTTTTTTTAAATCTGGGGGGTGGAGTTGATTTTGTGAATCTATACTAGATTCTTATTGTTCTAATAATAATATATAAAAGATATTATAGATTCGACTATAGCAGTCAGACAAAAAAATTTGATATATCTGTTTTTTAATAGCTGCTAGGACCTTTAGAGGTCTAATATATCGAGGAGCTAGCTTCCGAAATAGGGTCTTAATTTTTAAATTCTTAGTAGACAGCTTTACGAGATTTTTTTTCTTAAAAGTTATTGGCTGGTATTTTTTGTTATAGTACTTTTTTATTACTTTATTAGCTTTTCGCCAGTAATTTTGTAGGTTTTTTTATAGTACAGCTAGCTTATTAATTCGATCTTTAGCTGCAGGGACCTCTTTCTGGAAAGTACCGATCTCGGTATAAAGATAAAAGTTAGGCGAATAGCCTAAAAGAGCCTCGAAAGAAGAATAACTAGTAGTTAAATTCGGAGCGTTATTATAAGTAAATTAAGTAAAAAACAGTAGAGTAGGCCAGTTTAGATGATTTTTATTAATAAAATATCGAAGATATTGTTTAAGAGTCTGATTTATTCTTTTAGTTTAATTATTAGTCTGGGGTCGAAACGCTGTCGACAAACGGAGTTTAATCTGAGTATAATAGGCAATTCGGGACTAAAATTTACTAGTAAAAAGGGAACCTCTATCTAAGATTATATCCTGAGGTGGTCTAAACTGGAGTTTAATCTTTTTATAAAAAAGTTCAGTAAGTTTTGGAGTAGTTATAGTATATAAAATAGATAGAAATCGACACTACTTTGTGAATCTATCTATAATAATAAGAATTAAATCTAAAATATTATTTTTTGTTATAACAGAAGATAGACCTATAATAAAGTTTATAGATAGTTCGATAAAAAATCGGCTAGGAATCGGCAGCGATTCAAGCTTACTATATAGTTTATATCTAATAAATATAACTTCTTGATATATAGAGCACTTTCTAACATAAGTAACTATATCTTTATAGAGGTTTATCTAATAAAACTTTCTTCTAAGAAGGGCTTCTGTTTTTGATTGTTTAAAATGGCCTGCTAGCCGATTATTATAATAAAGGCTTAATAAATATTGCCGAAGGCTTTGTCCTGCAGGGATATATAAGTAGTATTTATATGTAATAAGATTATTCTTATTAATTTTCTAATATTTGGATTTAGGATTATCTTCTAAAACAGCAAGTTTTCGACGATATATCTTTATATCTCCGTTTTGGATTCTTCCGATTAGGAAATATAATTTCTTGTTGATTTTAGAACAGAATAAGTTTTTATTTTTATATGCTCGGAACGCTGCTGATATACTAATATATTTGTTATAAAATAAGCTTGCTCTAATAGTTTTAGAATATAATAAGTTCTTATACTTATATGCTCGGAATACTGCCGATATATTAATATATAAATTACAGAATATTTTTGCTCCGACAGTCCAGCTAACTACTTTTATACCGGTTTAATTATATTTAGATTCTAATAAATTTAATATATACTGGCGGGTATGGGGTTCAGGACTCTTCTATAAAGATATTTTATTATATTCCAGCTAGAACTTCTCCAAGACTAGCTGTAATCTTATAAGGGATTTACCAGTTATTTAATGCTGTATTAACTTTAAAATTTTTATATTAGGCAGGACTTTTAAGTCTTCTTTTATTCTCGACAGCGGGTCGGTAGGATTATACCTACCGGGTTAATATTAAATAATAAAGTTATAATTACTAAGGTATATATATTATCAAGCCTGACGACTGTTTAGTTTCGGCTGTTTTATAAAAATCTGAAGATTTTAATAGTCTGAAAGAATTTCAACAGTATGTAATGGCTCTTTAAGATATTAATACTAATGCTTAAATAAATAAATAATAGCAAAAAACTTTTAGTCTGGGGTTAAATAGTAAGTTTTAGTACTATTAAACTTTTTTAACCAGAATACAACAGGATAGTATACTTTATGGTCACCCGGCTGGAACAGTATTTCTGTTATATTTTATTAAAAAGTATTTGTTTTTATCCGGATTTTCTGTTAAGAGTTAAAATGCTTTAATAAAGACGCAGTCTTAAAATTATAAAGAAGCTGTCGGAATATTACTGTTTTTTTACTAGTTAATACTACTCTTCTAGGCTTCTTTCTATTCTGGGTGCTTTTTAAAAGGGAGGTTAGTAATAACATAATTAAAAAATAATTTTTAATAAAACGCTGATAAAAATTGCAGAATCCTAAAAATACTTAGATCTTACGGTATATAGTTGGTATCGGCCATGTAAGAATATCGGATATTTATTAGAGATCCATCGACATACTATATAAGGATATAATATATTCTAGAAATTTAATATAATTTTAGTAGAAAATATACTTTAATAGCTTAATATAAAGATCTGCTTTTTGTAAGCGTTCTAATATTTAATGTAGATAAAAAGTATAAAAAGGGCGGTTCTTTAAAAAAATAAGAATATTATCTAAATAAGCAACATAGAAAATATTTAATATATTATAAAGAGCCAAATGGATATAGTTTTAAAATATAACTAGAGTATTAGTTAATCTAAAGAGTATAACTAGATATTCGAAATACCCGTAGTAGATTCGAAAGGCCGTCTTTTATTTGTTTTTCTGTTTAATATAAATTCGGTAATACGTATTCTGAATATCTAGCTTAAAGAAATATTTGGCTTTTATAATTCTGTCTAGAATTTTTAAAATTAGGGGTAAAGAATAGCGATTCTTAACTAAAATCTTATTAAGTTTCCTGTAATCTATATATAATCGGAGGCCTTTATTCTTCTTTAGTATAAAAAGAATAGGGGCTTCTGCAGGACTTTTAAAAGATTGAATTTATTCTAATTAAATGTTTTTATTAATATAATAACAGAGGGATTGGAGCTCAACTTAAGATAAAGAATAAATAGGTCTATACGGTGGAATTTTACTATCTTTTAGATTAATAGCATGGTCTAAGAGTCTATAAGAAGAAAGTTGTTGAGAATAACTAGAAGAGAATATATTTATAAAATTTTAGAGCTTAGAAGATAATATAATCTTATCGGATTTAATTTATAAATAATTCGAGGAGGTTTTATCTTCTAGTAGCTAGATATTTTCTAAGAGTTTAATAACAGTATAAATATAGACAAGATTTTGGCAAGCTTTTATAAATTTGTAAGGAAATAAAATCTTTAATATTTGGGCTTTATACCACTACTGTCGATTTTATACGGATAGATAAATATATAGGTCTTCTAAAATAGTTATTAAAAGTAGAATAGGACTTTCGGAAAGATCTGGATTACGATTAATAGCTATATAATATTTTATAAATAATTATATAGTTCTTTTCGAATTAATAGCGGTAATAGGAATTTTTTATATACTATAGGTGTCTATAGTAAGGTGATTAATTACAGTAATTAGTAGGGCTGTAAGACGGGCTGTGTTTGGATGAAATTACTAAATAAATTAATAGCTAATAAGATTAATCTTAGCGTATGAATCCAAGTCTGTATAGGTTTTAAGTGTGTTTCTGAAGTAAATAGATATATTAAAACAAGTAGCAGTTTCTACTTCAGGCTAGTTTATTGAAGATGTAGAGGCTTCTTTAACTACTATTCTTTTTCTATTAGTTTTGGTTTGGTTTTATCTTTATCTCTATAAGGGCATCGGTTGGCTAAATAGTATTTACTATTATATTTATAACAGTGAAGGATTTTTCCTTTTTGATTTTTTTTATTTCGAGGGGATTTAGATAGGGAGAACTTATTATTAGACTGTAAAGATTCGGATTCTTTAAAAGTCTTATTTAGATAGTATTCTTAGTTTTCTAGATCTTATTTTTTCTTTCGGTTTAATATATTCTAATAATAGATGGTAATAGATACTATTTTCTCTCGGAAGTCCGGTAGTTTTAATATATATTTATAGATGTATCGACTGAGTTCCGGTACTAGCTTTAAAAAGAAGATTAATACATATTTGTTATCTTATTTAGGTTCGAAGTAATACTCTAAAATATTTAAATAAAAATAAAATTTTTTCGGATTTTAATTAGTTTGCTGGTAGGCCCGTTTAAGCTGCTCTATAGTATCAGACTGTAGGATAGCTGCGTTTCGAATAAAAGAAAAAATCTATTAGATAAAGTAATCCTATAATTTCTTAGTATTTCGGCGGTCTTCCGGGGATTTTTTATTAATATATCGGTACTATCTCTGCCGACAGATAGAGTCTAAATAGCTAACTGCGGCTAGGACTTTTTAATTCTCTGTTCAATACTTCCGAGGGGCTTTCTTAAAAATATATAGTAGATTACGAATCTACTCTATTCTCTGTTATAAACTGAACCGAAGAAAGAAAATAGGGATTTTTTTAAATTTAATTTCTTTTTTTTCTTGTTCAGAAGATAAGATCGAGCTAATACAGTATTATTGTGATTCTGTTAAAGATTTGATGCCTTTATATTCTATTTACAATATTTGAATCTATTTTTTTAATTACTTTAACTATTTCAATCGGTAAATAGTAGCTTGTATTTTTTAAATATCTGCCTGGGTTGGATAATATGATTTAGGAGCAGATAA